TTATTTCGAGTTTTTATGGTGAGCAATGATAGCAATAAGCAAACCTTATCAAGACGGGCTAAATCGTACAGTCCCTTTGAGCACGTTTACACTAATGTGTTCTTGTTTGAAAATGCGTCGATCTTTTCCGTTTTGTGCTTGCGTGCACACTAACATTTGTCAAAAAGGGAAGTTTGTACAAACGAAGGTTTTTGAAAACACTCTGTTTTTAAAAATAGAGGTCGCCTAAGTGCCAGTAACCAAAAACGAAAGTTTGCGAAAACGTTCATTTTGTTGAGTGCTTGTTGTATCATTTTGATATTATGTTGGTTAACTGTCTTCAATGCAATCAAAGTTCATTTCAGAGTCATATCGCATTTACGAATGAGACGGCAGAGGCAAGTGAGAAAACAAACACACAGCAACAGCCGGATGGCACAGAAGAGAAAACAAGACCATTCAGGTAACTGACTTATCGAACTTACCTGAGTTGAGAGTTGGAACAAGTTAAAGAAAAGAAAGAAATCCAATGTAGGGCTTTGCCAACCTCGTTCCCAGGTTCTCTTGCTCCGTAGGGATGGGTAGGAGAGAACCCTGGGAACGAGGTTGGAACTTTGCTTGTATGGTCCATGGTTTAGGTCAGAAGGGAGGGTCCCCAGTAGGTTTCTCGGGATCCGAGATTTCCCTCATTTGAAGCTCGGGATTCGGGATTTGAAAGCAAAATCGGGGCGAGTTTCGGGATTTAAAGTATGGTTGGGAGGTGGGATGCCAAAAATAGCCCTCGGTATTACGAGATTGCACGAAATTTTGGGTCGGCATTAGGAGATTGAAGAACACTTTTGGGTACCCCGAAAAGGGTGTCCATGCGTCCTCTAGACGCTCACTTTTAGATGAAGTTTAAGGGATACGGTAAATCCCCTATTAAGCTCCCCCTTTCAAATAAGCCCCCTCCCTTTTATAAGCCCCCCCTTTTTTCAGAGGAAGAAAGTTAATAAGCCCTCCCCTCTATTAAGCCCCCCCTTCCCCCACCCCGCCTTCCCGAAATATTTCTTCGTGTAGACTGATCCGGAATGGTTTATTTACCAACTGGAAGTTCGGATTTGTTTTTGATCCTCGGCTGTGTGACCTCCAACCTTCTTATACTTGAGCTTTTCCACTTTTTATTCTAGTTCTTTTTGGAGAACTGAAGCCATCGTCGTTTTTAAATTAAATAAGTCTCCGGGGAGCTTAAAAGAGGATTTACGGTATTTGTCTAATATCTTAAAATTTTATTGGAAAACCTCTCTTTCTGACGCCTAGTTTCATAAAGATGTAGGCTTTCCTCTAAACTCCGAACTCAATTCAAAGTGTGTTAGTTAGTACTCATGCAATTCTTTTGGATCAGTTTAGGTGTCTGGGAAACTGCCCACCTACCCCACCCCTAACCCATGTTTCTCACTGACGTGTGAATTAAGGGCAGAAACATGGGTTAGTGGTGGGGTGGGTGGGTAGTGTCCCAGAAACCTAAACTAATCCATTTTTTTTTTCTAAATTTTAGTTCCACTTTTCTCAGGGCAGGAACACTTAAAAGGTACGTATACTAACGAACAAGAGACAAATTGCCTAACACGTTACCTGCTTATAACTCCCCTTGCAATTTTCTTCCATAACGTGTCAAAAGAAAAATGAGGCAACGTTCGCGCTGTCCTTGTGAGAAACAAAAAAAGGACTTGTCCAATGCCTGCTTCCGTGAAAAGTTGTAAGACAAGATCGTTTCTGAGGGGTGTAACTCCGAGAAACGTCTTTAATTGTGACAAAACAAAATTATGAGACAGGCTTAACAGGACTCCAAGTGCTGAAACTGTCCAAATTTGTTTGACCTCGATTCTTTTAAATGGTTTTGCTCTGTACATACTGAGATATACTCACTGAAAATGTGCCTATGCAGATAAGTTGTAGCCAATCAGAGGAGCAAACGATGTTTTTGAGACACAGGAAAAATATTTCTTCCAATCGGTGTTGTAAACGAGGTGTTTTTTTTTAATTCACTTGTGGGAAAAAAGGTTCGTCCAATCAAAACTCACAATGGGTAGTGAGTTTCGCGCCAAGTTTCCCACCTTTAATGGGTGTTTGCAACGCCCTTGCTTCGCGGTAAATGAGAAATCGTTATCCATCCCTTTGCGAAGAACAGAGTTGTGACTTTTTTGCAGAAAAATTACTGGGAATCGTACACAAAATCAGCAAGGAGGAGCAGGCAGACCATTATCACGTTGTTGTGATTGTGATAAGGTACCTAATGTATTTTGTAAATTATTATTCAACTTTGCGCTCGGAGATCTTTACACTTTTACTGTAGAAATCGAGGAAAGTCATAGTCGTGTATGACAGTCTCTTTGAGCCCAAGAGTTTTGACTTCGATAGGTAGGAGTCGATTGTTACAGTGGTCCTGAGAATGATAGACAGGGGAAAGGCAGACAGTCGTTTTTGTTTGTTTTGTTTTGTTGTTGTTGTTGTTGTTTTTCACTTTCTCTTTTTCCCTCGATGCCTCTCCCATAACCCAAGTTTTAGCCGGAAAATCCCATCTTAGCCTTTTGAGTGATCCGCAGAGAAAGCTAAGAAGCTACTTTTTTGGGCCTTGAAATACAATTTTTTATACAACCAAACCTTTACAAAATGTAAATGTATTCTAGTCAAAGAAACTGTTAGGCATGTGGTTGAGGCTTCGTATATCTAATCCCTAAGGTGTTAAAGTGTATCTAGAATAAAACTGGAAAATGTACTTGGAATTACTTCAACACAACCAAGGCATCTTAGCCGAGTAGAAAATCCAATTTTATTAATTCACTACACTTCAGTACGAAAACGCTCATGAGTAATAGAATTGCTAAGGCAAGACCTAAAAACTACTTATGGTACAGAACAGACATTAAAGATTAATTGATGTCCCGACCGTGGCCGCTGTGTAATAGAAATTTCAATTTTGCTTTGTCTTCATAAGTCGACGTTTAAAGGCTCGTATTGTATTTGCGTTGGTTTAGTAACTTAAAGTGGTCTTTGTAGCTTCAGGAAGCTCTTTCCAATGCTGAGAAGAAATTGGAATCCGCGAAAGAGTAAGTGATTTTAAGTTGATGTTAATTTCTTAAGCCCTTTCCGGTCTTTTCTAACCGTTGCCAAAGTGTAAATTCACAAAAAAAAAAAAAATTCACGTTTACGTTTTGTAACAACTCCAAAAACAAATAACACCTTGTAAAAGTTCCGCCTCTGCCGAAGAGGTGTCAAGTAAATGGTAACAACGTATGACTTTGTCATCAAACTCAAAAGTTAGCTTGAAAAACCCCTCTCACTGTAACATCGGTCATCGGTCTTGGAGTAAAATGGCTAAATATACGTGAAAACGTTTTTATTATGACATGTCAAAAAAATGATTGTTCCCATCATAATTGCCGTTTGTCAGTTTAGGAGGTGTAAGATCAGCTAGCTTTACAAAAATAATGCAGTACCTCCCACTTTTGGCTACCAAATCCTCTCTCAGAAATATTTTGCGATCCGTCTAAGTCCTGGTTAAATTTTATTGACGCGCCGGAATGTGGTATGCTTGTTGCAGAATACCGTATTTCCTCGAACAAACGCCCCTCCTCTAATAAGCGCTCTCCCCCGAAAAAGCGCCAATTCCCTAGGCCAAAAGTATCAAACTGAAGCGCCCCCCCTCGAGTAATTCCCTCCTTCCCGTCCTGCGTTACTTTCTTTAATGGTAGGATTACAAGAAAAACCTGTTTCTATTGCCACCTTATTGGTAACTGTGGGTAAACTGTAAAATGAGACTAAGGTACGCTTGATCACCAACATGAAAACTTAATAAGCGCCCCCTCGATTTAGCGTCCTCCTTCCAATAAGCGCCCATCCTTTTAACCAAAATTTTGAAAAAGCGCTTGGGCGCTTATTCGAGGAAATACTGTATTATTCAACGACGATAGGGCGGGAAATAGTTATCGCCTATTTTCAGTCGCTTTCACTTTATCACTGGAGTAAACATAATATTTCTCTCTCTTTAAACTTGAGCTTTAATCCTTGAATAAAATCTGTTTACCTTTAGTGAAGTACAAGTAAGACAAGACGTGATCGAAAGTCTCCATGAGCACCTCAGGTGAGCAAATGAAAGTGTTGAATTATGTGCATTGTTTATGTATATTTATATCTATTTAAGGACAGTTTTTAGATGAGTCTCAAAAGTAACTTGGTGGTAGCTTTGTTGTTGTTTTTTATTTTATTTTATTTTTTGCCGCACCGTCGCGGCTTGTGATTGGTTGAAAAATCTCGCGCCCGAAATAAGACCAAACCAATCATGACTATAAAATGAGTGCCTTTGTGACGTTTTGCCGACTTCAAAAGGGGATAATGAAGCTTCCCCCCCCTCCTACCACCCCCTCCAAGCAATGTTGTGTCGCTGTACACGATACCTGTAACAGACTCTCCACCTTTGATTGGGGGAAAGGGGAGTGGCGCAGATTGTTTTGTTCTCTGAGATAACCCATTTGAGGATAGTGTCTTAACAATTTTGTCGCCGATTGTCGGTCATATAGCAACAGCTCGGAAGAGAAGTCACAATGGTGCCTAACCATGACCCCAAACAAAACTGAAACAGTTAAAAAAATGACAATTCATTACTTTTCTGCGACCAATCAGGAGAGACCTCACGAGCAGCTCCTACACAACTGCCGATTGTTGCTGCACGACTTTTCTGGCGCTTTGACTAAATCACAGATGTGATTGGTTCATTTGATCGTTGGAATGTGTTATGATTGGCCAGACTTATAGCTTCTGTTGTGATTGACAACTCTGAACAGAAATCGCTCCAATATTTACTACTTTCGTATGTTCTGGCAAAATACGAATTACTTCTCAGTGGGATTTTCGCTTTTTTTTCAGGAAATTTGAATTGGAGAAAAGTAATTTAAGGTAAATCCTATGCTTATATTACCTTTACTTCTGCGATGGTCGATAGTCTCAAAAGAAACCCTAATGTTTATGTATACTGTATACTTCTTGTACTCATAGACGTTAAGTTATCCGTTTGAATTAGTATTTCACATACCCCCAGCCCCCTCCCTTGAACCAGTGAGAGAACCAGTCAGAAATAAAATCCCACCCACCCCTTCCTTTGCATACACCATTCTCCACCAAAGTGCGTGTTAATGGCCAGCAAATAATCCGCCCCCCTATCCCCTCCATCACACTTTCTTTAATAATAAATCTACCACGAGAAAGGCCACTTTTCGCATTTTAAGTACACAGGCGTCATTAAAGGAAAACATGACAGTTTTTTTTTTACTTCCGGGTCTATCCTCATGTGCTTCCTTCTCTTTGTTGTTTGCATTAGTCCATTTCTTTGCCTAATCGCCGCGATCTTTGAAAAACAAAGTTTCAGTTCGTTAATAGAAACACTCTATAGGCCACCCTCCCCTCCCCCTTCAGTCAAGTCCCTTCCTATGAATGAGCGAACCACCCAGAAATTTTTAGTAAGTACTCTTACGCTGTTACGTTTTACACCGAACTTGCCATGTTTTTTGTATTAAAGAACGAATGACAAAGACGATGAACAGAGGTCGTTTTCGGAAGAAATGAAGGACAAACTAATTTATATTGCGCAGGTTTGTTTTAAGGGGTTACAGTACCATTTTTTAATAAATCATTTTCAGCCTCCTCTTTGACTCACTGGTAAGGGTCAGTTAGGACTTGATTTATTAAGACAACAGAAAATTCAAGACTTGTCGGATATTTTTATTTCTTTTTCTTTTTTTTTTAGTTTGCTTGACTTTTTAAGAGTGTTCTTTTCTCCCAATGTAGCTTGAAGAAAAATTGAAAGAACAGACAGAAGAACTCAAAAAAGCTGATAACAAAATAAAGTAAGTCTTATTCTTTCGGGGAACGCTTATCGCTTCCTTGTTACATTAGGGACTTTAAGATCCAACGACGCGGACGGCAACGAGAACGTCAAAAAAACAATGGGTTGTATTAGCAAAACAACAACTTTGCACGTGCACCACGCTTTTTTTGTACATTTCTCTGCCCGTTTTTGCATGACTACGACGTGAACATGCCAAATTTCGCGTTTTACGGAGGACGTAAACAAGCAACGACGAAATTTTGTTTCTCTTTCTGCACTTGGATAAGGTGCCCAGGAATTCACTCCAGGAGGGTTCGCCTACATTTGACAAAGTAAGTGGGTAGGAATAATTTCGATAAAGACTGAAAGAACGCAAATTCACTTTTTAAGCGACGTTCGCATTGCCGTCGCGTCGTTGGATCTTAAAGTCCCTATTAAGAACAGATGCCACGCTAAAATTGCGTCCCACAAGACCATCCACAGTGCAGTTCGACACAACAGTGACCCAGTCTCCCACGCGACATCTACGTAGCCAATAAGTAAAGCTTGCACTCAATTTATACTGAAGCGGATCCTGTGTTCTGATTGGCTACCTGATCGGCCAAACTGGGGTCATCTTGCCCGCTCGAGATTTTCCGCTGTGGTCCCGCAAGAAAAAAAATCCTTTTTTGACCATGTAATAAATCCTTTATTGACCAACAATCGGCGACAAAATTGTTGAGACATTGTACTCAAATAGGGTAACTTAAGAGATGAAAAGAATCCACACCCCTCCCCTGACCCCTCCATTCAAAGTTGAGGTGTTTGTTGTTTTTTAGAGGCAGCTCGAACAGCGGCACAACATTGCATGGAGGTGATGGGTAGGAAAAGCTATATTCTCCCTTTTGAAGTTAATAGAACTTGAAAAAAGCCCAGTTTAGGGCGAACTGTCTCAACTCTTTTTGTCGCCGATTGAAACTTGTTCGATCAAGATGGCTGGATATCGGCGTCGTTTTTTTTTTTTTTTTTGGCGCTTGGCCAACGTCCAGCCTAACCTGTTCCCAGATCTCTTGTTGACGAGGCTTCGTCGACAAGAGATCAGTGTAGGAGATTATATCCATGTGCTCGCAGAATTTCCTGCGATATGAACTCTGATATTTTTGCAGGGCTAACAATAAGGAGTTGAGAGAGTGTAGAGACCAGATTCAGATGTATCAAGAGATGACGGCTGTTAAAGACCAGGTTGTCGTCTCACTTACTAACCAGGTAAAATACTTCCTGCTTCGTCCAGGTTCTTTTTCATATTATGCAACTATCCCCCGAAGGGGAGGTGAATAGTGGTGCATATATAGCGAGGGTATATATCTAGCGCTGTTCACCGACCCTGAGGGGGATAGTTGTTTTAGTATTCGCCAAATCAGTGGGGTAAAAATGAAAACAAAGTAACTTTTTTGTAAATTAAAAACGTCACTTAGTAGAAAGTTTTTGTACAATTTACAAACTTATCGGGGATTTTGTCAAGTGCATTTTTACGATTTTGTTGCAAATTCAGCAAGAAAATAATTTTCTATGTTGCTTTCTTGGTATTTGCTTGTACGACTGCTTCATTTATCGCTCAAATTTTGTCTTCCGAAAATTCCTCGAAACGAGACGCCATCTTGCACATTCCGAGTTACTGTAGCCAATCAAAACGCGCGAAAATTGTTATTCGCTGATTTGGTAAATTCTAAAAGCAGGTATCCTTGCCTTGATTTAAACTACGCGTTGAGTTAGGAATTAATTGAAATAGCTGGCCGGTCCCGTATTTAAGATGTCTAGCTCGCGTAACAAGCAATACAGCACTTACCTTACCTAGTGTCCATAGTATTGACTACAAAATAATATAAGCTCCTTAAACTTTGGAGGGAATATTCGAAAGAAAGATATGTTGTAGTTATTTTATTTTTTTTTATCTCAGGTAATTTTTGTTTTTCTTTTGTTTTTGGGTATGGTAATGTATGATAATGAAGTTGAAACAAAAGAAAAGTACAAGTTTCCTGAGATAAAAAATTAACTACATCATATATATATAACGAATGTTCATTACAACCCATAACCATTCAGGAATTAACTGACTTGGCTGGAGAGTCCTGATCAATAGCGGTATTCTTCCTACGACTGGATTGTCTTAGATTAGCTATCCAGTTCTGACAAATTGTTAGCCTGATGGCAAGCTCTCCCGGCATTTATGGCGAGCAAATCGAGTCGCGAGACTTCTCGCGAGCGAGCGACCAAGACTCTCCCTCTCGCGTCTCCCTCGCGTTTCGCTCACGCGTGACATCTCGCGACTCCCCCAAATGGAGAGCTTGCTCGCAGGCTAACAAATGGTGAGCGCTGTAAGTTGTTTAAACTAACTCTTATTTCTCCCGCGCGTTAGGTGTACGCATTGGAGAACGCAACAGTGGAAGGAAAGGAAATGAAAGAAGAAGATTATGAAAATGATGACGATCCCACAAGGTATTTGAAAATTTTCTTTCATTTAGCCTCGATCATACCTTTCCTTTGTCTCTACATCCTGAGAAAACCGCCGACATTTCGCGACGCCAATACTGGTCTCCTCGCGAAATGACATCTGAGAAACGAGCGCAGAAGTTCCATACTGATGACGTGTCACTACCCAGATCTGGGTAGTGCTTCTGATTGGTTGAAAATTTGCTTCATCCAATCAGAAACACTGCCCAGATCTGGGCAGTGACACGTCATCAGTATGGAATTTCTGCGCTCGTTTCTCAGACGTCATTTCGCGGGGAAACCACCGGTAACGTCGCGAAATTGTCGGCTGTTTTCTCAGGATATCATCCCTAATGTCACTCTTCTTAAAACGTAGTAAGGAAACGCTTTATCTCGGTTAAAACGTGGAGGCGACGTGCCAGATATTGATCTTGGTTGTTCACTCGCTTTATCATATTTTCTAATTTTTGAGTGAACGAATAGATACTTTATATATTATTTTATGTGTCCTGTGACTTTGGGATGATACCTCAACTGTGACCCGGGGGGAGTACTCCCTATAGTGGCCTATAAGGGAAGCTCTGCCCGAAAGGGATACCTTTGTTCAGGCTTCAGGTATTTGAAAGGTTAGGCATTTCATTAGTAGAGTTATACGAAAAGGTGGGGACATCTCGTTTCCGGCTGTAAAAAGACCCAAAAAGGCTAACAGATCCATTTTATGGCTGCGAAAAAGTCGAAAAAGCGTTCTGGTGTTGTGGTTTATTCAAATTTTAAAGACAGTACATTTTCAGCAATTTTAAATTTCAAACTAAGCATGTGAAGGTACTATTAGTCAGAAGAAAGTATACGAAAAGGGGTACCTTTTTCTTACAAAACTGGTCTATAAAAAAGGTAAGGGCTTGGACCTCGGGGCCGAGCCTCCCTGCATAACGATTTGTTGAGCTGTTTAGTACCACCTCACCCCCATCTCCCAAAACCCCCCCTCCCCCTACCCTACTGCCAGGAACTGCGGTAGGCCTGAGACAAGACACTTTCGAGAAGTATTTCAGACTTCTGTGAAAATTTTTTTGAAGGTTTTGTTCCTCGTTCAGAAAACTTAAGGAAAGTCGGATATCGATTTTACTGTTTTTTCTGCTGTTTTGCATAGCACACCGCCGGAACCGTCTTCCACGGAAAGCAAGATTGATGACATCCAGGAGATAGGAAAACTCAAGGTGATAACATTGAACGGCAGGGGCCATCTCTAGGTGTCCACTTTCAAATGGTGTCTGTTTTATAGAGTCAAAGAAAATGACTGTAGAACGGCAGGGACCATCTCTAGTTGTCCCCTTTAAAAAGGTGTCTGTTTTATAGAGAGTCAAAGAAAATGACTGTAGAACGGCAGGGGCCATCTCTAGGTGTCCACTTTCAAATGGTGTCTGTGTTATAGAGAGACAAAGAAAATGACTGAAGAACGACAGGGGCCATCTCTAGGTGTCCACTTTCAAATGGTGTCTGTTTTATAGAGAGTCAAAGAAAATGACTGTAGAACGTCGGGGGCCATCTCTAGGTGTCCACTTTCAAATGGTGTCTGTTTTATATTATAGAGAGTCAAAGAAAATGACTGAAGAACGGCAGGGACTATCTCGAGGTGTCCACTTTAAAAAGGTGTCTGTTTTATAGAGAATCATAGAAAATGACTGAAGAACGACAGGAGCCATTTTAGGGAGGTCTCCATCTTATAGAGAATAAAGAAAGAAAAAATGACTGAAGAACGGCAGGGAAATACACTAGGTATCCGTTTTATGGAGGTGTCCATCTTATAGAGAGTAGAAGAAAAGAACTGAGGAACGGTGTTGACCGTATTTTGTGTTCTTGCTTTTATAGGAAACATGCCAAGCGTATGTTTTGCAGAATCGCTTCCTAAACAGCGAGATTTTGGAGTTTAACAAGCTTAGAGCTCACGACGAGGAGATTCTTAAAGCGCAAAAAATGTAAGTAATCTTTTGCACAACAAAATAGATATTTCCTTACCCTCAAAAGTTTAACCTCAGACCTAAAGCTAATACCAGTCTTCGCTGTGTAGCTTTCTTGTCGCGTCGTTACAATTCCATCTAGATTTAAAAGTTGGAACCAACTTGTAACAGAATACAAACGACACTGAAGGAATGAAGTAGTGCTAAGTAGCTTTCATGTGAATCATCACACTTTAGGGTTTCATCCAGGCTCCAAGTTAAAACCACTTTGTACAGCATGATAACAGTACCACTGCTAAGTAGCAATCTCTACAGCATAATGTCACCACAGGAAAACATTTTATGAGCTTTTATAACAACAGTTAAAAGGATACCCTGCTGCGAATTTCACTTCCATCGCTAACTGCTCTAGGCTCATTTTCCACCACCCTGTTAAGCCCGGTTTTCTTCCTCCTTCGGAGACACGATAGTCTCCCTTGAGGGCGAATGCCAGCGAGGCGAGGGACACGAGCGTTTGCTGATCCTCCCGGGAATCCGAACAGCGGCTGGTGATTGAGCCTCTGGTTGTAAGATAACTATTTCTCTCTTTGTTGAATTATAGGCGACTGGCTACTGTTGAAGCTGAAATGTGCAAATACAAAAGCAAGTATTTTCTTGTGCTGAGGGAATTCCAGAAACCTCGTAAAGGTATAAACCGAATTGGTTCTTATCCTGCGAGCTTGAAGTCTTCCTCGAAGCCGTTTTTGTCTCGTCGCGAAACGCTCTTCCCCAACATGACGTCAAAAACGGCTGAGTGGGAGACTAGCTAGCAAGCTCTGCGTTTGGAAATCGCGGGAGTCAAAAGTCATGCGCACGTGGGCCACAGGATTGGCTCGGGAGAGGAAGGACTTGGGGAGTGGGGTTTCGCGGCGTTTTTGGATTTTTTCGTGTTGTCGTTTGTCCTCTGCGCAAGTATAAACGAGCCGGCGGGCGCTCACGTTCGGAAATAAACTGAAAAGATTTTCCTCAACTCTACCTATGTTTGTCTCGGTTTTCAGAAACGCGCTTAACGATGTACACTTCTTTTAGCTTAAAAATCAAATTGAAGATCGTTTTCACGTGGCCTCTGTTCTAGCCTCGCATTTGTCTCCGACGTCCATGACAGCCTTGTTCTCTCCGTCTACGTGCCTCTTCCGTTGTCAATTTTGTAACATTAGGGCCATTTATACGAGGGAAAATAAGACGCGCCTTACATAAGACACGTGCTAAATGAGAGGCGAACTGTATCGTATAAGCGGCACATCTCGTTTGAAATAAGACGCGTCTTACCTAAGAACAGGTGTTATGGGCTGTTCTCAGATAAGACGCGTCTTTGCTTAGTCGCGTCTTATTTCAGACGAGATGTGCCGTTTATACGGGACAGTTTGCGTCTTATTTAGGACGCATCTTATTTATCCTCGTATAAATGTTCCTACTTTCTGCTTACCGGTTTGAAATTTTCCTTTACTGGGCTGTACAGGTACACAGTTTCTTGCATCTTTCAACGGTAAGATGCCTTTTGAGGTGGTTTTATTGATGTCGCGGAGACTATGGTGGTTTAGATGTTGTTCATTGACTTTTTTTTCATTTGCGAATGATTCATTCACTGAACAGAAAAGTTAACCACTACTCAGGCAGTGTCTTCTCGTGAGATCATTTTAATTCTTATGGTGCCATCGTCGCTAATTCTGTTACATTAATTTTCTGAATGGTCTTTGTTTGTAGATGGGGAGTCGTGGGGTGTGGATGAGGAGGTTATCAGTAGACTGGTGGAAGACGCAATAGACAGCGAGTCACGTGAGGTCCAAACAATGTCAAGGTCCAGGTCAGTGTCGACTACATGACGTATAATATAATTCTGCAACTGAGCCCGCAATTTTCATTGCGAATGTCGCAACGCGCTCTAAAACTGCAGGCCCCGGTTGTTAAAAAGTTGGATAGCGCTATCCACCGGATAAATCGCTATCTGATGGATAAGTATTGTGAAATCTAATTGTGTTATCCACTGGATAGTAATTTATCCAGTAGATAGCACTATCCACCTTTAGAACAACTGGGGCCAGGTCCCATTTGCTCAGAAGGTGGATAACTACATGAACAATCAAAAACTGTGTTATACAGCATATGCAGAACAACCTTTTGGGTTTTCTTTTTTTTTAGTATTCAGCCATTCGACCAGTGGGGCTTTCGACAAAATCTTGATGGTGATGATGAAGAAGCTTTCCTGTCCATTGCTAAGAAACTTGACAGAAGATCAGAAGAACTTAAGGTAAACAAATAATGACCGAAAGAATAAGATGTCAGTGATCTTCCCAGTAATGTTATGTAAGCAACCTATAGGCGAATCCTTGTTTACATTTTTTGCCTCAATAGCATAGGCTTATCATTATCTGATGAAGCCAATAAAATGAAATTTCTGAATATTGAAAGAGCATAACAATTTCAGTTATCTTTGTAAATTTGGGCCCGATATACCAAATAGTTTCGGAGAAATTCTCTTTGAAAAACCCCCAAATAGAATGTATGAGCTCATTGACGTTTTGCTACCCAGTAATTTTGCAATTTTTAATTGCTGTTATTTTCTTTGTTACTGATTGTAAAGAGCTGAAACTTGCACAAACTGCTTAAATTATACCAGCTCTTTTAATTTTTGAACCTAATTGGTAAATACGGCTACATCTTTTATGGGCTAACTTGTATGCTAATGAGCAAAAATGTAAACAATGACGTCACGATGAATCCGCCTATAGTAAATCGTGGTTACTGGTTATCAAAGGCGTCAAACATCAAACATAAAAACACAAAGGTGTTGCATTTTATGTTGGAAGCTCCCCAATGTTGTACAGTCCGTTGTTTTTCTGTTCAAAAATTGTGACTGAATATAATATGCGAAATTTTTATTGATCAATAAGATGAAAATAAGAGGAATGCCATTGAAACTTGTGCACGGTCAAGTCAACAAGAACAGATAACACAGGAGTCTAACGGGCTTCATAAAAATTCCACTCTATTAACCACTTAGCCTCTGACTTGATAGAGAACCTTAACGAAAAATTGTTAGCGGCTTGAACTATCTTCTTATCCTGAATACACGGACGCAACGCTCTGCCTAAGTGACGCCTGTCATTCAAAAAAAGAATGCGTCTCATCCTGGAGCAATATGATAAATTAGGATGCTTTAACAAACTTTTATATTGCCTTTCATATCGCTCTTTGCTTCTAACATTGTTCTAGCCCATTTACTCTTCACTTAAATCTATATATGGTCGTTTAATATGACAAGCTCTGATTTTTTTCAAAGGCCAATTTAAGTCATCAAGAAATGTCAGTGGAGGTCAAATGGGAAAACTACATGATTGCGCACAAGAACAGAGACTTCCAGAAAACGGTGAGTGTGCGACTAAGTACAGTTTGAATGGAAGTAGAAATGCTACACACTGAATCGTTTCTTTCTAGGTGAACCGAGTACTTACTGTTCTCAGCATAGTAAAGAAGTGATGGCGTCGCAAAAAAACAAATTTGTAATAATATGGGTGATCAGAAGGGATTTTCGGAAAGAACAAGATAAAAAATTCCCCCTGCTAAAAATCATTGGTTATTGCGAATTCGTGGTGACTAAAATGTTATTACGTTATGCTTTTACAAGTCTAATTAACAAATGTAGCCACTGTTTTTTAAACTCTAAAGAAATTTTAACACTTGTAAAAGTTGCATTGAATTGATCCCACAATTTTGTTGAATGCAAGATCGCGCGCATGCGCACTTTGGTATGATCGTCTGCCCATGCGAGCTGCATGGGTGTCTTACATGTAGTCCGTGAAGTTGTACCAAAGAGCGAGCAGTTTTTGCTTCACCGGGCAAGGAGTGCATTATGCTCACATAATTAACCTCATCGATCGGAGAACGTTTAAATTTGTGGGCGGTTATTCATGTCATGCAAAATTCGGCTGATAGAATGAAGATTACTAAAGTCGGCTGATAAAATGAAGATTTATCCCGGCGACTAATAATGAAAAAATCACGCAACGAAGCTCACGTATCACTCTAATCTCTTCATTTTATGAATAAACCTGGATGGTTCTGAGCTATTTTTAATTGTCAAAAGGTTATTACCGTTTATCTTTTATAAATCCCCCTTTGTTTTTTTTTTATTTCAAACACATTTGAGGGGGGTGGGGGGGGGCTTTGCTTAATTGAGAGAGGGGGTAGTCAATTTAGCGATGGTATCGGTACACCACAGAGAACTAGAAGGCTAAGTGGAAAAGCTCAAGTACAAGAAGTTGGAGGTAATGCAGCCGAGGATCAAAAACAAAATCTGAACTTCCAGCTGGCGAATAAACCTTCCTGGGTCAGTCCAAAGGAAGTTTTACAGTCGAGATTGATTGATACAGTCTATCATTTATTAGTGAACAATGATAAAGGGGAGGGGGGCTTAATTGAGAGAGGAGTTGGCTTATTTACCTTTTTCTCCTTAAAAGCGGGGCTTATTTGAGAGGGGGGTGGGGTGGGGGTGCTTAACAGTGCATTTACGTATTGTATTTCTCGTTCTTTAGCCTGAACTTAAGGTGTTAGTGCGGGCTGGTATCCCACATGAGCATCGCGCCATAATATGGAAAAAATGTATTGACGAATGTGTTCAGGATACTAGGAAGATCGCTGGAGACGGCTACTATCAACAGCTGTTGGAGTCCATCAAAGGAAGGCCTTCGCCGGCCGTCAAACAGATCGAACTGGACTTGCTACGCACGTTACCAAATAACAAGCATTACGAGCGACTGGACGCTGATGGGGTAGGTGACTAGATCTTTCTGCTTTACAGGTATTTTTATGAATCTCGAACATGGATTAACCATGTGAAAAAGATTTACAGTCAAGTCTGTATTCAGCGAAACTCTATTTAGCGGTCACCTAACAAAGTTCGCAAATCATTCCCCTTAGTTACTGTAAAAGTGATCGGTATTACTATTAAGAGGTCACCTCTATTACCGCGGTCACCTAGGTTTTTCGAAGTCCCAACAAGTTATTTTTCATTGTCTTCCCCTCTATTAGACGGTACGGTCACTTTGTAAATATGTACCATACTAGCGCAACAGATACAGTGTATATGACGTTTATAGCTCTCTTAGTTCCATTTTTTGCACAAGAAGAGTTAGAGGCATTTTGAGGTCGTTTTGTCGTGTGATAGATATTTCGCTATTTCACCATCTAAGTTATTTTCTTGAACAACTCTAAGGTATGTCAAACCTGTATTGAACGGTCAACCTGTATTAAGCGGTCAGTAAGCCATTCCATAAGAGTGACTATATCTGTAATACCTGGACAAACAATGTAATGAAATATTACAGTATTTGGCGTCAATTACAGTCCTGGTTGCTATGTGACAGTGCCGACTCCTATTTTCCTTTCGTAAAAGGTGAATACCATTTTTTGAAACATCAGTCACTGCCAACAACATTCCTGTTCTGGGCTACACTCGCCCGGACAATGGTATCAGTTCAACGTACATGTACTATGATATAAAATCTATTACACTTACAGTGTGGTTATTGTTGTTGATGTTTTACTAGACTTCGAAGCTGAGAGATGTGTTGCTCGCCTATAGTTGGCACAATCCTGATGTTGGTTACTGCCAGGTGAGAACAGATAGCCTGCTAGTATCCTTTTTCTATGTAACCGTGCCAAGGGTTGTCTTTAACATTTTAAGTTGCCGGGTAAATACAACACGTGGGCGGGGATTCAAACAGCTAGAGGTTTCTTTTGCTCCTATTTTGCTTCCATTTTCGTTTAAACGTAGCCGGGGGAAAATCCCCGGCCCCTGCCTCTTAATGTGTCCCAGGGGTGCTCACTGAAGTTTACTATTGGGATGTGCCCGTTGTGTCTGGACAAAAGAGGTGAATTTAAGACCCTGTCCAAGACAATAATCAAGTCACTTGGACGACGGGGGTAGTGTAATTTTGGCACCTAAAGTTGATCAAGAATAATCAGGGATTGCCAGAAAAAAACTGACCCTTATCTAAGAGACAAACTGAAGTAAAATATACCCCTTAGTCTTCCTGCAAATGGAGGGTGATTTTTATACCCTGTTCCAGAGTCAAAGAGGCGAGAGGCTGGTAAACATACCAGTATTTCCCATATATGGGACCTCCCTCCCCCTCCCCGGGAAACTTTGCAGTTTTATCAAGTATGCTATAAAACGATATCCTTGGCTGTGGCGGGAAAAGTACATCTTTGACCTTGCATTTGTAGCCGCCCTCTGTGTCTCGTTGTACAGTGTATTCTTTCTGTCAACCTGTAACTGTAACTTGAGTTCGTCCACAAACTTCCAGGATATTTGGAATCCTGCGAAAAGCTTCAACCTCGGGAAAAACCTGTTGAGACACACCACAAAGACATTTTTTTTTTTACTGTCATCCTGGCAAAAATGGAAACCATCGCTAAATGAATGCCCGTTTCTCCGCCTCGCCCTGCCCTTCCCCCCTCCCCTTATCCAATCTTAGAGAGCTTTAGAAAGTTTTCTCGCCTATTTTCTAAAATAAACTCCCGGGAAAGCTTCATTATACTTTTGTTTCAACACCAAACGGCAAAGTTAGCACACTTATTTCCTTTGCAGGAGGTTAAGCCCTCTCCCGATCGCTAAATGATAAATTTTCTAACATATGATGACTTGTTTTGGCCACTACGACATTCTCGCTCAAACTCGTAGTAGACTGACGACGGCTACCACATTTTCCCGCCAAAATGACCTGGTTCACGCGTGCGCACTACTTAGTATTGGGAAAATCTCGTTCTCGTAGTTGTTCTCGTCTTAGAATGTAGAGCTCTCTAATGTTTAGAATAACACGAGAATCACACACCTTGGTTTTTAGACCAAAACAACATTGAATAGGGGGTGGTGAGGGTAATTACTTCTTTCTGTTTATAGGAGATGGTAGTATGGCGCAAAAGTAAGAAAACAGGTGAAACTGCCTCAATAGTTTTGTCCGTGGTTGAAGTAACTTAATTAGTTATAAGACATTTATTATTATTATTTTTTTTTACTAAACCCTTCTCTCGTGTTTTCTCTCCAAAGGGATTGAATCGACTTGTCGCCATTGCTCTACTTTATCTGACTGCAGAGGAATCGTTTTGGTTTGTAGTTCATTCTTTTTTCGTTGCTGATTTTTGTCGCTATAATGGTTGCTCTCTTTGTCTTTGCGTGACACCTTAGCTTTTATTAGGTTGGTGAGAGAACTCACAAAAAATAGACGCTTTCTTTGACGTCATTTGATTTGCCAAATTCTGATTCGTCAATCAACCAAAGGTTTAGCTTTCCATGAAAGGAATATTTTTGGCGCAAAACGATTTTTGTTTTGTTTTTTTTAACTTCTTGATGGATAAAACAGGCCACAAGCATGTAGAGAATCGATTTTAGGGTATTGTTTTACGAAGCCGTTTCTACAAGAAGCTCAGCCTAGTTCTTTTAGCCTTAATGAACATCTGGTCCAAATGCGAGGTTTTTGAGCGGCTGTTCAAAAGTTTGCTCAGGGCTTGACTGAAGTATTGGAGCCCAGAACTTAACGTTGCTTCAGGACAGCTGTTGTATATTTGAGAGTTATCCAAAACATACAAGCAAAGCCGCATCAATGGGGAGACAAGACCGAAGCCGTCCCCCCCTGATGCGGTTCGCGGGTGGGATAGGGTGGGTAAAAAACAAAGACAAGTTCTCAAGTCGAAAGCGAACTAAAAGTGCTGTAGCAGACAAAGAAACTAGCGCACATGATCAGGGGCACAGTTAATGGATAACTAGTGGATGCTACGTGTTGTGTTGCCTTTGGACGGTATCCAATACCTCACTTTTGCATCGAGGCACGTTCCAAGAATGTACGATTCTCAGCGCGAAAGCGAATTTTGCGGTTTTCATTGGAAAGGGACAGAAGAACAAATAAACAAAGAGTAACACGTTTAAATGTGTTTTGAAAAAATATCCATGAAATGCTTGCATGGGGATAGGTGATTTTCGTATTTTCCAACCGAAAGTACTTAATCGCGGATGTTATAGGCACCCCTTTAACGCTTGAAACCTTGAAATAAACCTGTTGGACCATGTGAAAAACTCATAGTAATAATGTCACTTTTAATAATCTACTCTCTGTCTTCGTATGGGAGAATGCGAAGATAACCCGTGACATTAGATGTTCCTCGGGAAAGATGACTCGCTTGCTTTTTCACTTCTTGAGATGTTTTACTGATATTTTACTGATATTTGTGTTTACTTATGTTGCAAAAGTTGTTACATCCAGAAGCCCTGTATAGATGAAAATTAAATTTAAACGACGACAACTATTTAATCATTCAGATCGCACATGAGATGTTTTAAACTTTATCGTCCGATCTCAAGAAGTTCATTTAACTCCAACTGAATTTACTTGCATATGGAAATTTTTTTATTGTGTCCTTGTTCAATTCTGTCGTTCGAGATCTCCACCTTTCATGAGTTGACTGAAGATTGTGTCATTTCCTTCGACCAGCTTGCAACGGACTCACTCTACTGTTCAATCGGTCTCCAATAGAAGCCAAAATTCGCCCAATTTCTTTAGTTTTAGCTTCCTGGCTTGTTGCAAATGGGGGGCTGTTCTTTTTCTCTTCTTTCGATCCAGATGGTTTGTTGTTACCATTATCCATTTGCAAGGCTTGTTTCACCCAGTCTAAAACATAATAAGACTGTCCTATTAAAACTTACAGCATTCAGTCTTGAAACTGGCTAATGAAAACGCCCGCTAACGTGTACGATGGATGTATTAATTTTTTTTGTCCGCGCGGACGAAAAAATGTGGCCATTGTAGAGAGGTTGCCGTTAGCAAAGGTTTGACTCATTGTACTAAACGTCTTTTTTTAATAGTTCTTCATATTTAGTGTGCTTGTCTCTAAATACAAATCTGATAGCTAGCTCGTTTATTTTCTCTGACTTGTCAGTGTGGCCTTTGCTGCAAAAGTGCCACGTTTCTGAACAATGCTAAGATGTTAAAATGCGGGACAATGAAAGATAAATACAAATCACGTTTAATGTTTAAAGGTAACATTTTTTTCATAAGCCTGAGTACCGCTTGTTTCCAAACAGCAAATGTACCGTTTTTCGTGAAGGACGTGAGAGAGACTGCCTTACCAGAAAGAAGAGCTGATAAACTTAATGGCATTTAAGTAATAAGCCATTTCATCAGGGACTGTTATATTTATTTGGATTGTCAATCAAGCTATACTGTCACGTTAAATATTATGTTAGCCTGTGTACAGAGGGGAGGGGGGGTCTCTACACGCAGGCTATTCATGTACTAGTTTTATATCTCCCGCTAGGTAGATAGGTTCCTGTTTCAGTGATATTGAACACCATATAATTTGCGTAAAGCCGCAGTGCACGGCTTGTTTTTCTAACCTTTAGATAAAATTTGACAAAGTTTACGTTATCCTTGCCTAACAAAATATGTTATTTGTAGTTGTATTTAAGCAATAGAAAAAGTTTTCCGTGTCTGCATAGCCTGATGAAATTCTTACCAGTCACAAAGTCTTGTCCACGAAGTCTTGCACGCGTAATCAGTTCTTGTTTTACAAAAAGATGCTTTCCAAAATACGGACTTTTCTCGCTTAAAATGTCAGCTTAAGCGAAAAAAAATTGACACACTTTCTTTGTAACGATTTTCCAAGTTTCAGCCGACGAAGAAATGGGTAAATAAAGTAAACTTGTCGAGTTTTGAACTTGAAAACTTTTTCAAATTCGTGCTTGCGTGATTAGCGCGCGAAAAGCAAAACATCTTGACGCCACAACCCTGTTAACATACTCTCATGCAAACACTCCTCTCAGCTAATCAGAGCGCGCGTACTATCTTTGTTATTTTATAAAGATTGTTTTCACTCACGTGGCCAGCATCTATGCAAATTTATTGGAACAAAAGAAAGCGTTTGCATGAGAAAAGAGTTCAACTCCCAGAGGACTGGTTTGGGACACCAACATGGCCGCCGTTTCATTGTTTTGGGACACCAATATGGCCGCCGTGACGTCATGTGAAAACACTCTATACAGCGAAATACTGCAGGGAAAATTGTAACTCTTCACACGAGCGGCTCCTGATTGGTCTAGCGAGCTTGAGCTAATAGTGTGTTTGGGTGTAACAAAATTTAAAATTTTCATTTTAGCGTGTATTACAAGCTCGTCGCAAGATCAGCAATAAAAGATCATCGTTTTACATTACAAGTGAGAAATGTGTAAGCGATAGATAGGCTATAAGAGGCCGATCAATTTTTAGCGATTTTCTTTTCAAATATCCAGATATATTTTTTTGTGATAACTATTGACAACGCGAATCAGGTTGATATGATCTCAAGTTTACAACAAAACAAGAGTTACTATGTGATGTTCATCGGTTTGTTTTAGCATTTGCACGCGCAGTGATTCAATATGGGTACACACTGACTCGAACCCCGCTTTACGGAAACCCGCTTCATTAATACGGCCACCTAGTTATTACGGACAGTTTTCCTTGTCCCAAGCTCTTACATTTCCTCTAAATTCATCCCGCTTAATACGGACACTGTTTATGGCTCCCTTAGTGTACGTAGAACGCTGTTTGACTGTATCAACCTGGGAACCGACCATCTCCAACCGTGTGTTCTAAATCCTCCATCATGCATGCATAGAAGTTCCAGGCTACACACGTCGGTTTCATTTATCATAATCTGTGTTTTGCTTTTCCCAGACTGGAATTTTCAAATATTTGTCAGATTTAAACTGGGTGCTTATATAAGATAAAGATACACAGCTTACCTTTTCAACACTTAATAGGTACAGTCTCCAACTAGCAAATGTACCGTTTTTTTGTGAAGGACGTGAGGGACACTGCCTTACCGGAAAGAAGTGGTGATAAATTGAATGACTCGGCATCATAGTTTAGTAATGAGCCATTTCATTAGGGGCTCTTATATTTTATTCGATTGTCAATCAAGCTCTATTGGCACGTTAAATATTATGTCTGTCGCTCTAAAGCTCGCTAATTCTGCGGCCAGAATGACCATCATGAAGACGCGACTAAAATCACAAGTCAGACTCTCTCCTGCAAGGCGCCCATGACTTCCCTCAACCGTTTTGTGAAAAAGAAAGGCCTAGATTTCCCTCCTAAAACTGCTAAGATGAACTGTCGTCCCTTTCATTGAATGCAGAATTTCTAACCACAGTTATAATCATCCAAAAAACCCTGAAATCATTTGTTTTGAGAACGAAAGAGTTGCTAGAATATGACACGGCTCTGCATAATTATGATCATTCGCATAGACGTCCAGTATTGGGCTTTGTTTGCTACAATGCGTTTATCTCAGTCGCACAAGGAATCTTTTAAGGATTTTGGTTTTCAACCTCTTGCCATTCCCGATGCTTAGGGAAGCAAATATTTTTATGTTAGAACGTGACACGGTTGTGCATAATTATGGTCGTTCACAAAGACGTCCAGTATTGGGCTTTGTTTGCTGCAAATATGCCTTTATTCTAGTCGCGGAAGGACTCTTTTAAGGATTGTGCTGTTCAACTCTTCTCTATTCCTGATGCTTAGGGGAGCAAATATTTTTATATTAGAATGTGACACGGTTCTGCATAATTATGATCTTGGCTTTGTTTGCTGCAATGCCTTTATTTCAGTCGCGCAAGGACACTTTTAAGGATTGTGCTGTTCAACTCCTTGCCATTCCTGATAGCTCCTGATGCTTAGGGAAGCAAATATTTTTATATTAGAATGTGACACGGTTCTGCATAATTATGATCGTTCGCTTACACGTCCAATATTGGGCTTTGTTTGCTACAATGACTTTATTTCAGTCGCACAAGGAATCTTTTAAGGATTGTGGTTTTCAACTCCTCCCCGTTCCTGATGTTTAGAGGAGCAAATGTTTTGTTTTCTAGAACGAACTGTATGTAGTATTTACAAAAAAAAGTTAACTGAATCTACGATTTGCCAAGAATTCAGCAGTCTAACGCGCCAGGCAGAAAAACAAAAAGAAAAGAAAAAAATAGCCACTCAAGGGAGTGGATGTGGTTAGTCTTTGTAACGTAGTTTAGGGTCGTTCAGTGGGTAACCTTTAATCTTTTGTGAAGAGAGGATTTATTGTTATTCAGTTATTTTGCTTTCGCCGGTAAACCCCCGGGGGGGGACTCCCATATGAAACAGACGGGGATGCTCGTCGGAAATTTGGAATTTAACCCCTAAAGGAGACCATCTGGGCGTGGCTCAAGCTTTTTGTGACCCCTAAAGGAGACCAATCTGGGCGTGGCTTAAGCAAATTTTGACCCGTAAAAGAGACCGCTTAAAAACACACAAATACGACATGCAATGAGTTTTAATGATATAAAGACATAATCATCGAATGCTTTTATCTAAAAGTAGTTTTAAAAGCATTGTCACAGAGGTGGTGCGGTAAACATAACAACTAAAAAGACAATTTGACTTCTCTTTCTCTTCGCGTAATTCTGTGTTTCTTCGCGGAACCCTAAACGAGACCTTGGCACCTTAAAATATTGGCGCTTTGCCCGGAACACCCTAAGCGAGACCAAAATCCAAAATTTACACCCCTAAGCGAGACGACGAGCATCCCCGTCTGTTTTATATGGGAGTCCCCCCCCCCCCCCCCTTGTAGAAATCATTTATTCTTTAGTCTTAACTTCTTTAAGCCGTAAACAACCTGTTGATTTATTGAGCGTAAACTTATTTGTCAAGTCATAATTGTATTTAGTCTTCAAGCTGTAATCAACCTGTAAAAAAAAAAAAAGCCGTTATCCACCTGTGTAGCTTTTGAAAGTAATTAATGTTTCAAAGGAAGCTTAAGTTTCCACCAATGTTCTTGTAGAAATGATTTTCGTGCTCTGTAATTAGACTCGTTGAGTTGTGATGTAATCTGTATCGCTTCGCTAGCTTAGGCTTAAATACGAGTGCTTTGTAGGAGCTTCTTCGGTTACGTCCTAGTTACATCCTCGTTGCATCTAGCCTTGGGTGTATTTTGGTTGGTCATGTTTTGACTGTACCCGCAGTATAGTCTTGGATTAAACTTGTACGTTGGACCCAAGTTCTGTTGTGATCATTGTCTCAAGGGTATTCAGCAGGCGTAAGAGATTCCGTGCCTTCCCGCAGCCAGCGAGTGTCCCCAGGAAAAGGCCTTTCCCAGAGAGTTCTAGAGTTTTTCCCCGTCCGTCAGTTTACCCTTTTGTGAAGGCAAAACCTGTTTTCATACTTTAATTCCTTCGGACCGAATCGAAATTTTTGCAAGTGCTTCATGTACTGAACAGACCCTTAATTTGTGTTCATAAAGGTGACGACTTCCTTTTTCAATCCTAACAGTGCCCACAAAGAAAATTTCCAAATGTCTTTAAACAGCACCGTGCGGAGCAATATGTTAAGCCAGCAAAGCGTGCTCCATCTAAATATTCTTTTCCTTTCCGAATCGCGTGGGGCTGAAGCCGTTTTTGTTCATATGTGATCTAATTTATATTTTGTAAATAGTTTTAACATATTAATTGTCCTATTTTATACTTTTTCTATTTTACATAGCTTATATCTGTTTTATCTTTTTATTTCGGGAAACGTCATAGGGTCAACCTCTAGTTTGTAGCCAAACCAACCTAGACGAACTGTTTAAACTTCAAAAACGCTGCGCTCGATTAATTTTGGATATTCCTCGGGATGCACGCTGTTTTGATAATTTTCAAATCTTAAGTGGCTGCCAATTGATCAAATATTCAAGCTCAATAAACTCGGCCTTTTAAAGAAAGTTATTGATGAAAGAGTACCGGAATACTTAATTACAATCTTGGACTCACTTCGGTTTGAACACAAGTACTCTACCAGAACAAAAACATTATACCCCTTACCGAAACCCAGGACCGAAGCAATGAGGAAAACATTCTTCTACTCCACTATTAAAGAACTAAATGCTCTTAACTTAGAACCAACCACCTCCTTTAGCTTAATGAACACAATACTGACTTATAACGTCACCTCAAACTATACAGTGGACAATTTTAAAGTTAAAAAGTTTTTCTGATTTTTAAAAATCCGTGCTTTTTTAATACCATTGTAGACTGGATTCCCTTTTTTACCAATGTATTCACTTCCGTTTTTAACATCTCTCAATTTTTTAAATCTCTAGAATTTTTAAGCTCTTTTATTATAATTACTATTTGTAAATAGGCTTTTTATCACGATTTTTGTAATTTTATTATTATCGATTTTGTTTTTGGAGGGCCACCAGTGAGAGTAATAGAATTTTTAAGATCTTTTATTATAATTACTATTTGTAAATAGACTTTTTACCATGATTGTTGTAATTTATTATAATCAATTTTGTTTTTAGATGGCCACTAGGGATAATACTTTTCATAGTAATTGGTGTCACCCTCTTAAAATAAAGTGTTTTCCTTTTCATGATGTTTTGTAATTCTATTTTCCACATCTTGAATAAATGCGTGAGTCCTACAAAGAGGTTATAGTTCAGTAGTGCAATCATGAAAAGGATCTCGTTTACAGATGTAAAAGTTATTTTAGAATGGCGAGAAATCTCACCATAAATTGATTTAAGAGTTAAAGAGTAATGTGCATATTTCGAAAGAGAAACACAAAAAGAAACGTTTAAGAAAATTAGTACAAAGAAACGTTATCAAACCAGAGTAGGAGAAACCACAGAACCCGCTAATGTACGTGTAGGTTAAGCCCTTCCCCGATCCTAAAATGGTAACCCTTACAGCATTTGATAACTTGTTTCCGCTGCTACCCGGCGACATTCTTGCTAGAACTCGTAGTACAATGACGGCGGCTATCACGTTTTCCTGTCAAAATGACTCTGGGTCACGCGTGCGCACCACTAAGTATTGAGAAAATCTCGTACTCGTAGACTTTCTCGTTTTAGAATCTAACGGTCTCTGTCATGTCTAGGCATAATGTTTACCTTTATTTGATGTGCAGCAGCCATCGTATGACCTTTCATCTCTTTTCTTGTGGTTGCAGGTGTCTTGTAGCTATAGTTGAGCATCTTATTCCGAAAGACTACTACTCTAAAACGTTGGTAGCTTCACAGGCTGATCAAAGAGTCCTCAAAGATTTGCTCGCGGAAAAACTTCCCAGGCTTAACAATCATTTTGAGACTCTCTGGTATAGTGGATATGTCGTTATATTACCTTGACTTAAAATATTTCAGGCCGTGTTTCCCAAGCCAATTTGCTTATTATCCTGCAAATTTGCTGCCTTTTGAGAGTTCGTGGAAAAAAAATTGTAGTTACGAGCCGGCAAAGCCGTTGAGGAGAATAGGGCGAACTCGCACAAGAATAGGGCGGACTCGCCCAAGAATAGAGCGGACTCGCACAAGAATAGGGCTAACTCGCACAAGTGAGCTGCTCTCAGGCTAATTTGTTCTTGCGGCTTGTCTCTCAAAGTTGTGTTGTTGCGAGATAAATTGCGTGAGACTGTCAGGTTTAACCGTAGTTGTGCAATGCATGGTTAAGAAATCCTTTAGACTACGAAACCGAGTATTTCTCCGGCCCCAGCCTCTACACAGACGTTGCTTTATCTGATTTTTCGTTTATCAATCCCCCGCTGTTTTTATTTTTATCACGCGCGCTCGGGGGACTTTTAATAGAAAATAGAGGGTCTGTGAACAGGCTTCTCCGGCCCTGGGGTTCGAAGTCGCGACCTCCCGCTCTACAGCAGTCCAGCAACACTAGCAACTGAGCTAACCTTGCCATTGTTTAAAATCTAAACTAAAATATGATCACTAATTAATTTTTCTTACTGTTATCTTTTGTTTTTTACTGGCAGTGTTGATTTATCCTTAGTGTCATTCAACTGGTTTTTAACAGTGTTTGTAGACAACTTTCCAGTGCAGGTATGGTGTATTTCTTTTGCAATGACGACACAACACCTTTACGGAAAATTGAAGTCATTGAAACCAATAACTTGACTCGTGACCGGTATATTAGACGAAGTTTAATAAAAAATAGAAACAATTAATACAATCAAATTTATAGCATGACCCGTGAAACCGAGGATAACAACTAGTGCTAAATAGCTACAAGTAAACAAAAGAAGACAATGAAATTAGTGCATAATAGCGCGTAGTATTCTACTACCTATTTCACGGGTTAAGTAAAATCACTCTAGTTACCCACTAAGGGCCTGTGTACGTGGAGTTGGGGTACCCCAGATAGGTGAGGTAACCCGCTTAGGTGGGGTAACCCGCCTGTCCATAAAATCTCTCATTTTAATGTGATCACGTTTACATGTTAGGTGGGGTAACCTGCCACATGTTACCTCACCTACCTGGGGTCCCCCACCTTCATGTAAACAGGCCATAAGGCCCTTTGTAATCGTGTTTTTTTTTTTTTTTGAGAATTTTGAAAGTGAGGTCACACTGTGTCCAAAACCTATCTGGTTATTGCTCTTCGTGGTCGCTGCTTTCCAATTGATAAGAAGAATTGCTTGACTTCTGCCTTGCTCGTCACCACAACGTTAATCATTTCGTTATTTCCTAGACAACTCTACGAGTGTGGGACACTTTTCTTTTCGAGGGAAACAAGGTAAGTTGTACCACATCCTTTTGGCTCCCTATCTTGGTAGAACGTAATTCCTCTTTTGCAAGGTTTTGTTCAAGGCCGGAGGCCGGATAGCCTGCGTTGCAGGCGTTTGAAAGGGAAGGGAAAGGGGGTTTTGGGCGCGAGGGAAACGCGAGGGGCGCGCGAGGAAGAAGGGAAGGAGGGAAACGCCTGCCAGGAAACCATTGTTTTCGCCATCCCGCCTACTAATTATGTATGCAAAAATAACCCCAACTGTGAATGACTAGCTGTCAAATAAGTCTGGCCGCGATGCGCTTATTTAAGTCGTATTTCGCGTACTGTTTTTCTTTTGTTTTCCTAAAACAAGAAATTTGAAGTGAAGGTACTATTAAAAAAAGTGTAAATGCGGTCGTCCGTTGAAAGAAGAAAGTCGCAACCATGCGTGGCTTGTTATATAAAATCCAGCATAAATCAATTACGTTTTTGCCGAAGGTATCGCGTTGGACTTCCCAACTTGCATGCAGTGTTTGTCGGAGAAATTTATTACAAACACTTTGCTGACTCTCGAACTGGATCCAGCGCAGCATACAAAAGAACGCTGGTAGCAGGGAAAGAAGAGCGGAACTTCAAAGATCTACAATAAGGCTAATTCTGCAATCAATATTATTATTGAAGTACGGTAAGTTCCTGGCGGCTTTATAACGTCTATAACCAGCAAGAAGAAGTCATCAAACCAAAAATCGCTAAGGATTATAGATCGCTACGTCTTCAACAATCTGGTCGTTGATAAGCGTAGCCTGCGTGGTAGGCGTTTAAGGTCAAACAGCAGATAACAAGCACACAGGCAGCATGATTTTTCCTTTCTCTCTTCTAGTGGGTAAAACAAGCCGTTGGGAGACAAGACTTCTCAAAACCAGTCAGCAAAACTCATCTAGCTGAAAGGTCTTTTCCTTCATACGAGTCTTTTAACTGCTTTCTTCTATTCTCCTTTCAAGCTGAAATAGATGCCTTCAGTTTCTAATCGTTCTAAAACGATGAATTCCATACAGAAATCTCATCACGCCTCACTATAAACAACATATTTTTAAATGATTACTGAAAGATCGATTAAGTTACTCAGTAGCGTGATGTTGATTTCAGCCAATCGGATTAAGGTATTACGGCTGTGATTGACATGTTTTGAAGACGGACCAATCAGGATTTTAACATTCGCCTGGTGGATGTTAAAAACGAGAAAAACAATGGTCTCCTGGCAGGCGTTTCCCTCCCTCCCTCCCTCCTCGCGCGCCTCTCGCGTTTCTCTCGCACCTAAAACTCCCTTTCCCTTCCCTTTCAAACGCCTGCCACGCAGGCTCGAGGCCGGACGTTACTGTCGTTTGTTTAGCATGGGAAGTCCGATGCTTTAACACAAAATATATATCTACCTGGATTTATGAAAACCAGGTTAGCAAACCTTTTGTCGTTTATCTCAACTTCCTCTGTCTTAGCTTGTATACTGAGTTGTCTCTTGATGTCGGATCTTTTCTCGGTTGTTTCATAATTAGGGATTTGTGTAGAAGTGGCTGTAGACAGAATTTTGCTAATTTCTATCTACATATAACTTCCGTAAACATTGGTGGTTGCCCTAATGAGTGACTCATGCATAATCTGGATTTGTTGAAAACTGTTTAATGACTAGAATCTTCTGAGAACAAACACCAGCCGACTGGTATCAATTATCGCAATTCCTGATTCAAATATTCGGCTTTTTTGTGTGCATTTTAATGGCACCATCCCGGTTAAGCTAGCGGACGCAGGAAGTGGCGTTTTGGGGAGTTCCATTTCAAAAATTGAATTGCCCGCCCTCCCCACTCCCTCTCGTAAAAGTTCGTTCCGTCGGCACTCACCGCTTGTGTCAAGTGTGAATCCCGTACTTTAAAATATTACTCTGTTGACCCGGCTTTTGAAAAAGCTTTGCTGGTAAAAGAAGCGCGGGGCACCCGCGAAAGCGAGCAAAAGAGTAGCTCCTTTTCACGCCATGCCCTCGCGCGTCCCCCGCGCTTCTCCCATTTCGCTAAAAGGACACGGAAACTACTACTACATAGGCTGGCGTTAACGTGATGCTAACCCTGCTGTGGTATTTGATCTTATTTCTCTCGATCTATTTTCCATTCAAGTTCAATTGTACCCCTTTTTGCTAGTAACATGTGCTATTTCTAAAGTGGCCAGCACCCACGCTTTTATTTAAAGTCATAGTCTTATCTCCCTATTTTTGTACTAGGTGCTTTTCCGATTTGCGCTAGCAGTCTTCAAGAGCACTGAGGAGGAGCTCCTAAAGTGTCAAGATCACATGGGTATCTTCAATTTCCTAAGGCAAATGCCGGAGAAAATCACTGACGCCAACACCCTCAGCCAGGTTAATATCTTTTGTTATTATGTGGCTGAATCCGCGAGCGGGCAAGATAAAGCAAATTCTGTATTCTGATTGGCTACCCGAGCGGGCAACATGGGCCCATGTTGCCAGCTCGGGATTTCCCGCGTTGTTCCCTTTAGTAATATAGTAATAAAGACCATATAATAAATCCTTTATTGACCAACCCGTCGGTCAAGATGGCTGAATATTGGCCTCGTTCGTTTGTTCGTTGTTATTGACCTCGACTTCGTCCAGGTAAAAAAAACTTGGCCAATATTCAGTTATCTTGACCTCACCCTTGGTCAATAACGCATGCGCATAAACTGTATGTCATATACAGGATACTTCATGGAAAGTGCGAGCGTACGGTATTTACGCACGAGTTGTTGACGTATCAGAAATCCAACGATTGAACACACCATTTTTATTTCTTTTTTTTTTTTCTTAGATTGCCTTCCAGCTCCTAAATCCCTTCCCGATGAAGATGATAAGAACGAAGCGTGCCTATCACCTGGAAGTCGTCAAGGTATGATAATAACACTATTATTGTAATTCCTTTAATCAGTTTGAGGAGAACTGTTTGGAACTAAAATGTTTCAATGTCACAGGTCTAACTTTAAAGGCTTGAAATAAGGGCCGATCAACTGATAATAGAAGGCTGATTTAGCAACAGAACGGGAACGTCATTCTTCCCTCTTTTTTGCACATCAGCCGTTCGTACAACGTGATTCTTCTCTTAAAATCTCTTTTCCGTACGTCAGTCCGTTCTTGTTATAGTGGTTATGTCGACATCTACTTACGTTACTGACCGCTTGATATGTGGTGACAGTGTATACTGGTTTGACAAGCCTAAAGATAAGTCAAGAAAATGACTGACTTTAAGAGTGGTGTCCGGGTTAGGATAAGGCGAATTAACCTCAGAGTCGCGTTCTCTGTCTCTCCCGTTTTTCTTAAAGAAAGGAAATAACAAAGACAATTGTTACATTTAGTAAATGGTATTGACGTTTACTGGGAAGATAGACGTCGTTTTACTTTCTAATAGATTCTTTTTTTCTCCTTCTTTTTGCAGAATGAGCTTGCTGATTTAGACAAACTCCGCGAGGAGTATGTCACCAGCAAAGCCGATGAACCTGAATCCAGAGACGGGGACATGCTCGGTGAAGACTGAGGCCTGGGAACAAGTCCATGCACAATAAGACATCCAAGCCAATAATTTACAGCTTGCAGGAAGATTATCTTTCGTGTGACCTAGATTGATTTCCCAGAAGTTGAAGTTGTTCTTATAATACTTGTCCCTGGAAAACGTCATTGCTGATTGACTAAAGAAAATGCTGAAAGCGAGTGACGTCAAAGAAAATTGTTGCGTCTTAGCTATTTGTCCGTTCGCGTTTCCTAGAACAGCCAGACGTCGTGCGTGTTTGTCTCGCGTGTTTTCACGCTCCTCGTTTTCACCTTCGCGTAACAAATCCGTGAATTGTTGGTTATGTTCACTGGTTAAACGAAAGTCATTCTGTGAATAACGCTTTGTCGTGACTGTAAATACTGGGTGTTGCATTTAAATTTGATTTGCTTTTTAACAATTCGAAAAAAAGCTAATTAAATTAGATAAATTCTTATTCCATTGAACTGAAGAAAAGGGAACCTTGTCAACCTTCATTCCGATTCACATTATGATTCGTATATGAAAATAACTTTGAATAGGTTGAAATTTATTGCTTGGCGTGTTTTTATTATCAACATTATCATCATCATCATCATGATTATTATGTTAGACTTAAGAGATCAGATCTTTCCAAAGAGATAATATAAGGCTTTTTGCCTCAACGTTACTTTGCATTGCCTACAAGCTTAAACAGGTGGGACGCCTCTTCTCGCTCCTGATTTTTTTTCTTCTTCTTGTCACAAAAAGTTAAATATTACCGCCGTTAAACTTGATTATTAAAATCGCAGCCTCAATGCGGGAACAATGGTTCAATGCGGGGTACTTCAAGGCTCTATCCTTACACTCTTCCTGTACCTACGTTTCACTAGTGCATCACTGGCTAACGTTCTGCGATGGTATAAAATGCAATTTCATTTCTTCACAGATAATACTCAACTGTACGTGAATTAGCCAATATTAGGGCTAAAATTCAGGATTGCCTGTCTGATTTTGGTCAGCGCATGTCCTCTCTATCTCTTCTCGAAAGACTGCTCACTACAGCTTCTACCAATACTTCGCTTCGAAAAAGATGTCATTCATGCAACCGTCTCAGTCTGCCAGAAATATCGGAGCCATTTTTAATACTACACTGTTTAAAACTGTGAAAGGTTTGAACCCAGGAGTCATTTCAAAAGTAGGTTGAGTTTGATCGTCCGGGTGAACGTAGTCCTGAATGGGACTGTTGTTGTTGAGAGTGACTGACGTTTTGACAACCTGTGCGGTAGTCATCTTCAGAGTCAAAGTGAGTTGTATCACGTCAGTTGATGGTATTATACTCTGGTTATTGATCTGATTTGTTATCTGATATCATTTCATGTCGTTAAACGGCTTCAAAATGTTCAAAATACTGCTGCCCACCTCATGATTACATGCTCCCGTAGATACGATCACATCACTCCAATTCTGTCCTATCTACACTGGCTTCCTGTTTCGGAGCGCATTGAATCTTAGTTAGCGTCTATTGCTCACCTTTAAGGCTCTACACCAACATTCCCCTACTTATATTCAAGATTTAGTATTTCGCCACATCCAGTCAGGAAACATTCGCGCGCGGTCCCGGCAGAAATTTTTATCTTGCAATTTTTTCGGCGTGACCAATGAAATCATGGTTAGATGGAAGTAATATCAACAAATGGAAGTGGACAGTTTTATATTTTTCGAGAAAATAACCATTCCATTCGCTTTTGACCTCTTAAAATTATTACCAAGTCACATTTACCCCTATGCTTGTGCAAAAGGGACAATTTATATACATCAGTTGCTTTGAATAGGGTTCTTAAAAAATGCTCGAAATTTTATGTCATGCGCCTGATTTTTTCCCAATTTCTTAGAGCGAAGTTATCAGGCAATTAAGGCAATGGATTTAGTTCTTTATGCAAGCCTGTCATAATCTTGATGTATTGATGTATACATGTATGTGGATCTTGATACGTATACGTCTTGAAAATTCTACTCAACTATTTTATCATGTAAGTGCTTATTTTGATGTAAGTATGAGGAACGTGATAAATATTGCAATTCAATGTTAGATGTGATGCACTCGTATGCGAATCTTGGTACGCTTGTGTGATCTTGATATTGTTTCAGACGAATTTACATCTTGACATAGCCAAATTAATCTGTGTGAAAATTAGTGATGTAAATAAATCTTGCTATAATTATTGTCTCTTCCGCACAAGCATCCGTTTGCCGGGCATTTGGAAAGTCACGCATTTGGTCACGCGGTGCTCCCATCGCCCGGCTAAGACGACAGCACCAATTGCATGGTGGCTCGAATACTTTTGATTGTCGCAGTTTTAACACCTCTTCTGTGCTTTTTACATGTGAAGAACAATGTTTTTCCAAAAAAAAAAAAATCTAATTCCATAATGTTAGATAAAAAGTATGTTAATGCCGTGTGCGAAACGGAATAAATCAGGGTCACACCCTCAACAAGAATTCCCAGGATTTCCACAGAGTCACACATCTAGTCACATGCTACATTGCACTCGGACTAGACAAAAGCGCATAGCACGATGGCTCGAATACCTTTAATTCTCGCAGTTTTAATACCTGTTGTGTGCTTCTTACTTGTAAAATATCAGGATGCAGATTTTGTGCTCATGATTTACGAAGTAATAGGTGAAAATCCTGCTGTAGTGTTGCGCGGCAAAGTTGTGTGGATCACGGGAGCTTCCAGCGGCATTGGTGAATATCTAGCTTACGAACTGGCTAAATGTGGCTGTAAGTTGGTGCTTTCTGCACGAAGGAAAGTTGAATTAGAGAGAGTCAAGAAAAACTGTGCAGGTAGGACTACCACCTTATGAAACAAATATGACTGTAACTATTTGGTGATAGTGATCCGCGCTGGTTTAAATATACGGTTTTCAAAATACTAAATGCCCGGCAGTCAGAAATTCACGTCCATTTTGCACGAAATATCTCATTTAATTTGTGTAATAACATCAGGAAGTTATTTAGAACTGAATCAAGCGATTTCAAACACTGCTTTGAGCTTGACATAGAGGCAACTGTCGAGCCTGGGCATAGAGTGAAATCTTTATAGTTTCGACACTTCAAAAATTTGCGTCACGCAACTGTAGCGCTACACCGGAAATTGAAGGGCACTCTTCTGCCGAGTCGACAAATTGTAAGTCAGAGGAACATTTCTAGAGGATATCTGGTAAGACTATAGACTCTTTATAATTTTACACAGAAATCGAGTAGACTCATTAGATCCTGAGAAAGATTTTCGTGAAAGTACAGTGAGAATTTCCGACTGCCGGGCATCTAGTATTTTGAAAAGCGTACCCGTGAGTGAAAATTCTAAAGAATATGCTTAATGCAAGCTCGGAGAATTTGTCTAATACGATACGAAACCTTTATTTAGAATCGTTTGGCATTTCTGAACAAACACTAAATACTCTGGTGAGGTTTCGTTGATAATTTCTGTGGATATTCATCGCGAGTTGACTCAGTGTGTGTCAGAACTCGAATATTTAACATTCACTCTATGCCCACGCTCGACAGTCGCTTCTACTTTTAGCCCAAGGCAATATTTACAATCGCTTGAGATTCCTTTAGAAACAAATATCTTGTGTTCTTAGAGGAATTAAACGAGCTATTCCGAGAAAATTGGTCAAAATTTCTGACTGCCAGGTATCTAGTTTTTTTGAAAACAGTTCCCGGCACAGGATCCAGAGGAGATGTGTTTGACGTTAGAACATCAAAACCCGTCGAAAACCTCTGAAAAATGGGTTATCTTGATCGCGTTACAGTTTCGTTACACATTCTCTAGACCGCAAACCAAGAGACTGAGGGCTCGCAAGATCGGCTTACTCGCAACTTTGTGCCTCGGTCGCCCTTCAGGCGACGGCCAAATTAGGCTTTTGTACATTATGCTTTTGCTTCCCTACTAAAATGCTCCACCTTAATGCTCCATTTTTCCCACTAAAATGCTCGGTCTCCCGGAAAAAGTCACTAAAATGCTCGGATAATGCTCATTATACAAACGGTTTTTTTTAAATTAATTTCAAAGTTTACACTTACAAAAACGTGCAAGTGTTGCAAGTAAGAACGACAACGTGTACAAGTTCATAAATACAGCCAAAAAAACCAGCTGTATTAGGTTTTTTGTGAATTTTGAATTTTAGTCTCATTTTGTTTAAAAAAGCAGGAGCTCATGGGACATGGGCTGCTGAAAAAAGTTAATTTCTATTGTATTTTCTCGGAAAAATCAATTTTCCGGGGAAAATGCCACTAAAATGCTCGAATAATGCTCAAAGCTTTTGCCTCGCTAAAATGATCGAAAAAATGCTAGCATAATGTACAAAAGCCTCGGTCACCCTTCCGGCGACGTGCCTTGCGCCAGCGAGGATATGGCTTGCGGTTATTGATTTTCAAAATGGCGAACAACAAAGTCGATCTGGGTCAGATACCGTAAATCCTCTATTAAGCCCCCCCCGGGGGGGGGGGGTTTCAAGCACTTTTGAGGGGGGTCTTAAAAGAGAGGGGAGGCTTATTTAATTTAGCGAAACGCATCACCTATAGCAAAAATACCCTGGCATGAGACAGAGTAGACTTTCGCGTTGTACAATTAAAGTCACTGTCAAAAGTATTTAATTCACTTGTGGGAGCCTAACAGTAACAAAAACAAAATTCTTATTCTTCAAAAATGTGCTTCGGCCTCATGTTCTTCGGTAATTTTTATGAATAAACCATAACTGATCAGTCCACGTTAATCGTTAATTTTTTGGTGAAGAATAAGGATTGGGGGAGGGGGAGGGGGGGGTAATAGAGAGGGGGGGCTTATCAACTTTCCTCCTCTGAAAAGCGGGGCTTTTTTAGAGAGGGGGAGGCTTAATAGAGGATTTACGGTAAGAACGGAAGAAATCGTTTACGGTAGATTCATAAAGATCCCATCGGGCTAATTAATCGTGCTAAGCGACAGGTATAGACATTTTTCAAGGTGAGACTTTAAGTAAGTAATTCATTGATTCACACGAAACTCCTCTGGACCCTGTGTTCCCGGCTGCAGGCCATCTGTCTCTTTCGCAGTTTCCTCTCATCAATTGTACCCGGGCGGTCGCGGGAGACTAGCACGGTATCTTGGTGTGAAAACCTCTTCTAGCCCATTTATTTACTTTTTTTTTCTTAATACAAGGCAATGACGATTTTTCCACCACCACCTTGGCAAAAAACAAATTGGTTTGAATTGTCAAGAGCTTTGTATCTCACACATTTTCCATCTCAGAAAAGGGACCCGTCAATATTTATTGTGGGTGGCGGGGGGGGGGGAAGGCGCACGGAGGATTTTGGGGGGGATCAGTCGTAACGGAGAACCCAAAAGAGGAGATCACTGCAATCACTGATAACTTTGGAAGGATTCAGAGGGGGGACCACTCAAATTCGCTTGGAAAATGAAGACATCGCAGGGGGGGGGGGTTGCGAAGGTCATCAAATGTTATTAGGGGGGATCACTTTAGTGAAGTAGCATTCAAAGGGGGGACCGGCTAAATTTCACCTTGTTTAGCCTCAAATCCTCCGCCCCCCCCCCCCCCCCCCCCCCCCCCCCCCCCCCATTCAATACCCGCTCCCCCCTCTTTGGGGGCGACTGGGCGTTAAGGTGGAGTTGGGGGCCGCGGTTACTGCTGAAGTGGATTTCTGTTTTTTTCTCGGTCTTGAAACAAACTAATTCAAATCCAACATGGCATGAGTGCTAGGATGTGTGAGCAGGGTTCGGTGCTGTGGAGGTGGTGGTGGTGGTTGCGTGAGTAGATGATTGGGTGTGGTGTGTTTTGTCTTTGGTGAGGTAACTATCAAAGGGGGCCCGCCAAATTTCCCCCTTTTTGGCCCCAAAACCCCCCCCCCCCCCCCCCCCCCCCCCCCCAGTGATGAATAACGACCGGTCCCTAAAATCAGGGGTGAAAGGGGTTTTGGTGTGATACGGGATGAAGTACGGAATTAAGTGTTTTTTAACCTTCGTTAATGGTGAAAATACGAAATTTCTGTGAAACATGAAAGTAGGATTTTAGTCACCGTGATGCATCATTTCTACCTTTCAACGTGCGTGAAATGTGTACAGGATCAAACCCCCTCTCCCCCTCCCCCTCCCAGTTCTGTATGAAAGAGTATTCGAATTTTGTTATTCTCGGCCTTAACAATCTCTTTGTGATACGAATTTGGGCATAAGGGTTTATGATCCTGTCTAAGACAAATTTACTCGCCCAGTATAATTGAAATCAAAGTTTACGGGGCTATAATGGACGGGTAAAACTAGCCTCCCCGCAGACGTCCTTTGGGGTTCGTTTGTCACGCATTCATTTCTCCTCTTTGTGGGGGAGAAATGAATGCGTGACAAACGAACCCCAAAGGACGTCTGCGGGGAGGCTAGGGTAAAACCAGTTAAAGTTGTAAAAAAAACGTACCCTGTCCAGCAGCGAGTGTGTAAGTGAAAGTATAAGGAAGTACCCCGTCTTGGGAGATCCTGAAGTATTAATATCGTCTGAAAACATTGAAAAGTAGCAAACATTTGTATCTATGTTCTGAGCTCGATCTTGTTATGTCTTTCCCACCAGCAATTTCACTTTCCATTGATCCATCGTTTAATCAAGATCAAGATATTCTAGTTCTTCCTCTGGACTTGCTGAAATATGACACCCATGAAAAACTTGCACACGATGTCCTTGACCATTTTGGAAAGGTAACAAGTGACAAGTCATAGGGCTTTAAATGGGATCATTATACACATTATTACGTTTCTGGGAACCTGCCTACCTACCCCTCCCCTAAGCCCATATTTGCCCTAATTGACAAATAAGTGTTAATGTTGGCTTAGGGGAGGGTAGGTGGGCAGTTTCCCAAAAACGTATAAGGGATCCCGAAATCTGGGAAATTTTGTCGTGTGGAATCTGGAATCTTGGGCTTTTGGAATCCAGTACACAGCCCAAGGAATCAGGAATCCCGGCCAATAACGATTGGAATCTGGAATCCAAGTTCCACGAACAAAAAATTTGGAATCCACTACTTGAAATCCGGAACCCATCGTTGCATAGAATCCAGAGTCCAAGACTGCCTGTAATCCCTTACATGGGATGAAAATTGGGCTGATCGATGGACAAATTATGACCATTCGAGGGTACTGACAGTTACAAAGGTCATTACCAGTGGCGGATCCAGGGGAGGGGCCCCCCCTTATCTTAGGGTCTGGATTACCGCCCCCCCCCCCAAGTTATGAGTCAGGTTTCCCTATCAGTAGGGGTCTCTCACGGCAAGAGAAAAAGAAGGGGAAAGAGAGAGACTTCTGCCGGCCTCTTTCTACAGAGAGAGAGTTACGGCTCATTTTAAAAAGAGAGAAAAAAATGATAGGCCGCACACTCGATAAGAGGAGATGAACTCTAGCCTTAGGGCAAAAGCCACCATGTTTTAATGTGCGCGCGCACAAAGGGATATATTATGCAACCGCCTTCCAAATTTGGTCAACTTTAGATGGTTATAAAGTATTAGCAGAAGGATTTGAGCCAATCGGATGTAGCAGCGTTCCACTCGATTTTACAGCCTCTTGCTTCCTTTTCAGGTTGATATTTTGGTTAATAATGGTGGGCGAACACAAGTTAGTTTAATAAGAAAGACCTCACTGGAAGTCGAGAGAGCTCTTCTGGGTTTAAATACTGTTGGTACCATTTCCTTGACCAAAGCAGTTCTTCCTCACATGATCAAACGCCGTGAAGGACAGATTGTCTTTGTGAGCAGCATTTTCGGAAAGTTTGGTAATCTTGCTTTTTTTCAGTATATTAGGCAAATAACGCAACCTCGACAACGAGAACGGCAAAACAGCAATAGGTTTAGATTAGCAAAACAACTTTGTACGTACATCACGCTTTTGTGTATATTTCTTTGCCGTCGCTGTACGAGCACGACTAAGGGCCTGTTTACATGGAGGTGGGGGACCCAAGGTAGGTGAGGTAAGATGTGGTGGGTCACCCCGCCTATAATGTAAATGTGATTAAATTAGAATGAGAGATTAAATGGACTGGCGGGTTACCCCACCTAAGCGGATAACCTCGCCTTCCTTAGCCTGCTAGAAAGCTCTCCGGGGCTGCTCTGGCGGCAGGTTGGGAAAAAGAAGGAGAGCTTGCAACTACGTCTCTGGAATTTGAATTCCGCCTCCAATTCCCCTGTGGCTGCCCATTGACTGAGCTGTCAGATTCCCGCCAATCAGCGCAAAGCGAAAACGAGCGCGAACGTAAACAAAGATTAAAAACACGTGCCAAGAGTAATGACGTCATTACTAATGTCATCTCCGTCAATCAGCATTTTGCATCGACTTTTTTCGGTGCAGATATTCAAATTCCAGAGACGTAGTTGCAAGCTCTCCTTTCTTTTCCAGCCCCGCCGCCAGAGAGCTTGCTCGCATGCTACGCCTACCTGGGGTACTATACTGTGTAATTTCACGTTTTTTGGAGGTCGTGAGCATAATACAACGATTTTCTAAGGAATCTGGATATTTTTTTGAAACCACCTACTTTTTTTACACGAATCGGCTGCACGAGACCGCTGAATCAGGTCACCGAAACCGCATTGTTTTGAAACCGTTCCCGCCAGAGCTGTTTTAGATCCCATTCACACGAATCCGGAGAAAAAGTATGCGGTTTCAAAAAAAGTCCGGATTATACAGACAAATACAGTCTTTTAACAGTCAACTCCGGAAGAATTGAACGGCATGAATAAGTGAGATGAATTTTGAAACAGCGTAAATTCACTAATATTGTCAAAACATTTTTTCCCCACCTTTGTCTTCGACCTCGTTTCGTTGCTTAATATTCTTATTAACTCACAACAAGAAAGGATTTATCCTCAGTTCTTGCTCACAAGACGACGGAAATACTTAAAAGTTTTAAGTGGCTGAAGCGCAAATCACATGAGCATTCCTTGCTTACCCAATAGAAAACCTTTTGTTGAGTGAGGAATTTCACCATAAATCAAAGCTTCGTAATAATTTTCAATTGATGTTTTTTGCAATCAAGATTTGGTACTAGAATCTTCAGTGGGTGACAAATTAGAATAACAAGACATCAAAAATGTGCGTTCCAAAGAAAAGAGTACAGTCGCCCAAAATTGGCGTAAGTTATGTCCACAATTATTAATTATAGTGCTTGTCCAAGTTCAAGACAAAAAATTACTATCAAAGGAAGTAAAAAGATTGTATCAATTTGAAAGGTATCAGTTTCCCAGAATTATTTGATTCATTATATATTTTTTTGAACGAACTTTGTAATCTAAAAAGATAGTAGTGTAATCAGAACTATTTTTTAACTATAATCTTCTGAATTCCTTTCTCAGGCTGAATTTAATGTTTTACATCTTGTGTTGTTAAAACAAAGTTTTACATTTTTTTTTCCCTCAGGGTTTCCTTATCATAGTACATACAGTGCTAGTAAACATGCATTGCACGTACGTATGTATTTACTGCTTATTTATTTTGCGTGTTTATGCTCCTGTTGATCCTGACTTTGCAGATATCTTGATAGTTGTATTTTGAGATGGTTTAATGTCATGCTCATTTTAATAGTTGGCTTAAAATCCGAGAACAGCGACGGCGCAGAAGGCGACGCTTAAAAAGGGATTTCCGTTTGTTCAATCTCCACTTAGACCTCGAACTACTTAGACCCCGTCTACATGAACAAAAGTTGTCGCGGGAAAGAGGGTCACCGCCCTCCCAGCCGAGTCAACTTACGTACTCTAGCTTATATATGAAAAAAAAAAGTTGACCCTTTGCCCGAGCCAACAGCGCTCGTGCATGCTCAGGATTGTCTCGCCTTGACCGAGCTGACCCGGCTGGGAGGGCCCAAAGTGTTTACATGGAGAAACGTTGGCCCGGCTAGGAAGATGCCCGTACGTACCCTTATAAGGGGTTACCCAGGTAGGCGGGCCACCCTTCTACCGAGCCAATTGCACTATCCAATGGATAGAGATTTATCTAGTGGATAGCATTATCCACCTTTTGAAAAACTGGGGCCAGATGTATATTAATTGAACAAGTCTTTAGCTTCAGTCTTCAGTTAGGTTTGACCTCCGACTTTGTTTCTTACAAGCTTATGTTATAGAAACGTCTCAAAGTTCATTGAAATTAATAATCAGATATAATCTTGAGATAATAATTTAATGATTTAAAAATTTTCATGACGTGATGATCAACTGCGCATTACAGAGATTTATAGAACACATATGTAAAAGTTCAAGTACATCAAGTTTCAAAGTTAAAAAAGAGACAAATAAATGACTAATTAAAGTAACAAAATGTCATCGTGCATCAATCAAACCTAAGAAAAAGCCTCGCAAAAAATAAGTTTTAAATAAAGAGGTTTTTTTTAAAATGGTCAACAGATTTGGCCGTCCTAATTTTAATAGGTAGACTGTTCCAAAGCTTAGGTGCCGCGGCAATTGCTTAGGCAAAATCCAAGCACCTATTTCCTAGGCACCCCTTTATTTATTGTTTAAGTAAAAATACAAAAATGCATGCTTTCCTGTTCATATCAGTGCGATTTATTTCTTCACTAGGGTTACTTTGACACAGCTCGCATTGAGTTGGCGGAGTACAACATTGGCGTGCAGATCGTCTGTCCAGGACCTGTCATGTCGGACGTGTTAAAGAACGCCTTTACTGAAGACATCAACAGGGTAATCAGCGGTTTTTAAACAGAAATGAGTAAAAAATGTTCTGAAATACACCTCATTCATTCGCCCCATGAAGGGGAATCCAGATTCCGGAATCCAGCAATTTTTAGCCGTGGAATCTGGAATCCTGGGCATTAGAATCCGGAATAACGTTCAAATTCCACTGACAAAGAACCCAGAATCCAGTAGCTGGAATCCAGAATCCAATGTTTTGGATTCCCTTACTTGGGGTAACTGGGAGATAAAACTAACTGATCGCATTCGTCAGAACGCATCCTAATCTTGTGTTCCTGTCACGGGCGACTACAAATTAGCCGCCCCTATTAATTTTATCAGGAGCATCTCGGCCGGGAAACTGGACCCCTTTCGACTCGAGTGACGAACGCGGATCCGTAATCAATGATTACCTCTAGTTTACACTTGAAAGGGAAAGGGAAAGCAAGCAGCCTAAATGCCCGCGATACAGAAGTGTTCCTATTATTATTGTGTAGAAAATATTGTGAAGCTTGGCCGGTATCTTTGACTGAAACTTAATTGTCCAGTCTTGTTCTGCATGTTGTTGGGTATATAAATTGTTTGATTTTTATGGTTTTTTGAGAGAAGAGAAAACTGCAATTAATCACAATAGACCTTTCCACGGTTTTCTATTTTTTTTTTAACTTTTGACATGGACAAGTGAGGGAAAATCCGTCGACCCCGCTGGTAAGAGCGCCTTTAAATTAGCAAAACCGCCAAGTTTGAAAGTGATTTGTTGAAAACTAACGAAGATATATATAGGTCCGCAAAGTTGAGAAAATTTACAAACCTTTGTATGGTGGTGGGATGTAAATGTGAAGTTCGCAGATTTTTTGGAGCTATATCTAGCTTTGCTCGCTTAAGACACGTCACTTTGAAACTTGGCAATATTACTAGTTTTAAGGTGCCTCAAGGTGACGGATTTTCCCTAACTGATCCATGTCAAACGTTGAAAAAACCGTGGAAGGGTAAAATCAAAAAAGGGTCATTACGCCTCACCGACTTACAATGTACCCTGAATACAATCATCATAATAACGTAAAGCTGAACTTAATTTAAAACTCTGAAACAACAGCACGGAACAATAATCATTTGTCTTCCTTCTTCTGTTTAGTGAAGTGCCTCAGCATATTTTTTGTTTAAATTTCAGCCTCTTAATGGTTCAAACCTTATGGAGAGAATGCCATATGTGTCAACTGAACGCTGTGCAAAGTTGATGGCATTAAGCATGGCCAACAATTTGGATGAAGTCTGGATATCAAAGCATTCACCTCTTGCATCAGCCTATTTAAGCCAGTACTTTCCAAACTTCTTTAGATGGTATATTTTGTTTAGTATATTTAACAATTATTCCTCGAGCCCGAAAGGGCTCTGAGTCAATAGCCCATGAGGCCGAAGGC